GGTAGGTGGCACAGGTGGGTGCACTGCTGGGCACAGGTGGGCGGAACTTGTGTGTGGCACTGATGATCGGTGCCGTTCCCTGCTCTGACAACTGCCGGTTTTCGGCAGTACTTTCCTCACGATCTGCCAGCGTGAGGAAAGTGCAGCTGAGAACCGGCATTTGCATTTCCCATGATCAGCGTGTCATTGGACACGGCTGATCACGTGGTAAAAGGCCGCTGTGATTGGCCTTTTACCACGTCACGTGACCGGCTGTGTCCATAGGACACAGCGATCACAGAGATCGCCCTGTGCGCGCCCCCGGGGGTGCGCAGGAGAGCGCATTCTTCCTCTTCTTCCTGGCGTGCCCACTGAGATGGCTCTGTGTGCCAGCTCTGGCACGCGTGCCATAGGTTCGCCATCACTGATATAGACTAATCTCAAAAACAATAATTAAAGCCTCTTATAACACCACTGTGCAATGTGTGTAAAATAAAGCCCCTTCTTCAGTGCCAACACCATTAGGTGAAAATCCTGCTCACCTCACTTTATGACCTCAGTAATAGATCATTATGCGCTCAATATATGGACACACTTAAGTACACCCACAGTGGTCTTCCTCCAGCTCCTCTCCCCGACTCCACCACAGTATACACTCCTCCAGCGAACGCTCTCATACAATACTTATTATGGCTAACAGAAAAGTGGAACCATAGTGCCCTCTATGTATAAAACAATTTATTAGCACTTATATTTAAAAACACATACAAGATGTAAGAAACAAGCCAGCATGTAATGTATATTTCGTTACATGGCTCACCACCCTGCTTGCCTGGATAGTCATCAGTTCAAAACATCTAGGGCTCAGCTCCTTTCACCTATTACTCATTGCACCCCAGATACGAGCATCCTCAGTTGGCCTACTGAGGAAACCAGAATCTGGGGCATAACACGTAATAGCTGGATTTGTCAAAAGTGGAAAAAAAAAAAAGTGTCAATTTTAAATAAAAACGTGCTCAAACACAAAACATGATCATATTACTCTAATCAAGATGATATTCCTTTACGTTCGCCAAGCAGCACTTGCAAACGTTTCCAATGCATTGATTCCGTTATACTTTTTTTTTTCTGGAAAAAATTCACACCCTAGTATTGCCATGTCCTCTTTGCAGGTCACAACAGAAGATGGTGGCCTAGCTACCTATAATCTCTATATTTATTTCCTAGTATCCCAGCTTACGCATGTATACAGTAGGCTACACTGTTCCTCTCTCTGTCCCTTTGGTGGACTTCCAAAGGCATAACTCATATATCGGTTTGATAGGAATTCCTTTCTCTTATGGGGAACTACAGGTTTACCTCTCCCAACAAAATTTTTCTTTAAATATCTGTTGATACGTCATGCTATACGGACTCAATTTACCACCCCAACAACATCATAAGCCCCCTTTCCTATGGAGTAATCTCTTTTCATGAAACAATCACACCAAACTGACCACCACCTTCTATAAATGCTTGAAGCTAAAAGAAACTGTTTGCCATCTGTTTTTAAAAACAGCAAACATTTATTCTGTTTTTTCCTTAGGACACCTGGCTTGAAGATTTAATTAGTACAGAAGACAAATCTATACAGTTTACGTTTATATACCACCTACTATATATGCTGGATAGGCTACATCATATGGGCCAGCGTGTAAAGTGTGAAGACTCTAGCTACTTTATATCACATATTCTTGGCCTGTCCTCATTTATACTGTATCACTATATACTGCACTAGAAACAAATCTGGGTTGCTCTGGTCAAAAATTACCATACATCTTCTGGGTATCCTGAATTACTGTTCCTTTGACCCAAGAACATACCATATTTAATGACATTTTTAAAGCTAGAAAGGCTATACTGCTCAATTGAAGGAACCCAAACCCCTGACTCGGATACAAATCTTGTGTGCGTAATGCAGACTTGCCCAAATAGAAGATTATATATGATGGTAGAGAATGTCCTAAAAAGTTTCACATAATTTGGATTCTGTGGCTGGGTTCTATCAATTCCTAATTCCCCATATGTCTTCACTATATTGTTTTCATTTGTGGGTACGGAGGGGAGGGATCAAGTGTGCATGTGCTCAGTGTTTTATGGATGGAATGTCTTCTTTGTTTTGGAATAAGGCAATGCTATAACATCTCATGTGTCTGGGTTTCATATACCAACTATGGATATGCATATTTCACTGTATGTATATTAAGGATCATTGTGCTTTATTGGGCCTTCTTGTCTTTTACCTTTGCCTTATGTAAAACTTAAATAAATACCTTTACAACATCTTGTGGGTTAAATAAACAAAGTCAATACCAGTTCAACATGAGCTTATATTGCTTTTATGCATATATTGTGGGCACTGCTATGCAGTTGCAGCAAAAGAGAGAAAAGTTGTGAAAACAGTGTAAAGGTTTGTTAAAAGGCACTGTTTATTAATGGTTATTTTGCCATGCATGTATTGAAAAATATATTAAGAAATGGA